TTTTAGTTTCATAGTGCTTCATTGTTTGACTGTACCATAGTTTATTCCCTAGCGATGGGCATTTGGGTTGTTTACAGGTATGCTATCATGCATAGTGCTGCAGCGAATAGCCTTGTGCATTCTCTTTTCAAATTTTTGCTTGCGTATGTTTGGAATAGATTTCTAGAAGATTGTAGAGTAAAGACTATAAGTTCAAATGTTTCATATTAGAGGTTCACTAACCTTTTAAAAAATATATGAATAGTTTTATTTATTCTCAAAATATTAGCTAGCTGGAGATGTAGGAGGTGGATAAAGGTGTAGGGATGGTAAAAGTCTCAGTTAACATGGTTCCTCTCCTCACTGAGAACAGTAGCAAACCCTGGGAAGATTGGTTATGTTGTCTCAGGGAGAAGCTTAGTGACCTTTCAGGTGATGCTTTGAGGTCTACTACAGCTGCCAGTCTACCAGTTGATTCCCTGCTGCATTATAGTACACAGAGAAATGGTATTCAGAGGAAAGGATGTGGCCAAATTGCATTCTGCATAAGCTTAAGATTCCATAACTATTTGAAAGAAAATAGTTATGGCAATATTGTTTTATGTCTTGATCTCCCTTTTTTTAATTTATAGATTACTCTCAAGTTGAGAGTTCTTGGGTTTAAGGCTCAAAAGAGCCTGTAACCTCATATACTTTAAAATAGAGCAATCAAAGCTTTCTTCTGAAGGAAAGTGCTTGCCAACTAGAGAGGCATATGGTCAAAATACCTCAAAGAAGTATATAGGTTACCAGCAAGTCATTTTAAAAATCAGTTTTTATGAGTCAGACTGTTTAAACTCACTGGGGATGTTTCTAGTATTAAAAATAGGTATGTGCCTGTGCCATCATATAACTCTTTACCTATCCTATAAGTTTGGATTTTTCTATATATATTTTTCTTAAGCAGGATACCAGTTTATTAATTTTAAAAAATGCTCTGTGCTTCCTGATGGTTTTTTTCCTTCTCAAAGTATCCTATACCCCTTTTATCCACACCTCAGTGGCTTTGACCCTTTCTATGTTTCCAGTGGTTTACAGTAGGATCTGATCCATTTAAGGACAAGTGTAAACGATAATTTCGCTTAATATTTTGAAGACTTTAGGGTGAATGGAAGCACCATAACAGATTTTTTAGAGAAAATAGTAAATGACATACAAACAAATGAGTCTTTTCTTTGGCAGGAGTAGGTTAGCCCTGAAACATGGGTTTTTTGTACTAGAAAATCGAGTTAACAAAGGCAGTATTCTCTTTCTTGGATACATTATAGAATGTCAATTCATGAATTTATACAGTATTACAATACTGTATAATATAGTATGCCTGTTTATTAGGCTATCATATTTTACCTCCTAACCTAATTGTTATTTTCAGCCAGTCAAAGGTGAAAATAGGAGGTTGTATTTAGCTTTTTCAGAGAAAAATATTCATAAAAATACCTCACATATAGTAGGCACTTAATAAATATTTATTGAAGAATAAATGAAGAAGTATTTATTTTTCTAACATACTGAATAAGCATTTCAAATAAAATAAATGAATGTTTTGGGATTATTTCTCTCCCGGACTCTCACCTTTGTTAATTTAAAACCTAAAACTAAAGATCTTTGTAGTAACAAATGGATTCATTTTAAATTTAATTTATTTTTTCCCCAGAGAGACTGGCTTACCAAACTTTCCTCATATTGAGGTGATTCGGAAAAAAGAAGACAGAAGAAAATTGCCCGGACACACATGTAAGGAATGTGAAATTGTAAGTACTACATAAATACTCTTCAGTTGGTTTTTTTTTAAGTATGGCTTTATAGATGATAAATGCATGATTTAAAAAAGCATAGATACAAACCATGTTTGTATCTAGGAACCTAGTCTGAGCCAGGAATAACAGAATGAATAAAGAGTATACTGGCCTGAAACTGAGAGAGGTAAATAGATGAAAATGAAAGCCCTCAATTTCTCTTTAGATTTTTATTAGGTGAATCTGAAGCCTACGTACAAGTTCTTATTACCACCTTAAGATATTTCTGCCATTTTTTTCTATATTTATTTGTATTTTAATTTTTTTCTCCTTGAGTTATGTTACAGAAAGGGCTGTTATATACTGTTTGGGGGAAATTTTGATATTTCAATAGGAAACTTTACTATAACGTTTATTACACCAACAGTTTCAGGAAATGAGATATTATTCATAATTGTTTTTCTAAATAATTGATACAACCATAAGCTTTTATGTTTTTCCCCAGACACCTTCCTTTCTAAACAAAATGTAATGAATAAACTCTGTTTCATCCTTAGAACACAATTATATTTTCCTTTTCTACATTAGCTGTCTTGATAATACAATTAATGATATATAGATAGTACTAATCATCCTAATACTAAATAGTTCCAGGGAGGTTCTGTGTTCTTGAAACATGCTGTTTTTATTTCTTCCTGGTTATCTATTAGCTATCAGATGCCTGTTTCCAGCAATTTACTTCTCTTTTTAAATTTCTTTTTTAACTGTGAGCTAGAAAATTTGGTAACCAAGCACATTAAAGTTATAGATGACTAGATTATAGTACAGGTAAGCATTTGGTGAGAAATATGCTCCCATACACTAATAGTGGGAGTGTAAATTGGCATCACTGTTTTGGAAAGCGGTTTGGCAATACAAGCAAAACCTGCTGTATTATGAGTTTTCGTAACACAAATTGAATATATCATGATTTCTTAACTAAGGAACATGGTCTACACTAAGTAAACCTCCAGCTTTTAGTTATAACCATAACTCTTTACAATCTGGAACTAATATTACCAGTTAGAAAAAAGCTCCTTTTGCTAGAAACACTGTTAATTTGCTTTGCTTCTCTTAGAAATCATTTCCTTTGCTATTATCCAATTTCCAAAAAACATTGTTTCATAGATTTTATTCTGTCTGTTTAGTTGTTTAAGGTAGGAGGGTAAATCTGTTCTCTGTTACTCCCTCATGACCAGGAGTAAAAGTGCCAGTCCCATGTGTTTAAATATAATCTATATGCTTGTAGTTACTAAATTTATCCCTTTGCCTAGTCCACACGGAATATGTAATAACATGTATATGTGTAATAATCATCTCAAATTTCACATGCCCAAAAGCAGACATACAATTAGTACCTACGATTCCCAAACCTCACCTTTTAGTCTCCTGCATGTTCCTTCCTCTAGTTGTTTAAAACAAAAATCTTATAGTTATCCTCTACTCTTTTTTGTTTCAATATCAATAACTGATCCATCAGCAAATCCCATTGATTGTACCTTCAAAAGATATCCCATTTCCAGCCACTTCTTATCTCCACCATTAACCCCCTGGACCAAAGTGACCTCCTCATGTTTTTATTAATAAACAATTTTTAAAATTGTTTTAAATTTTAATTAGTTTCAGGTATACAGTACATTGGTTAGGCATCATATAGTTAGTAAATGATCCCCCCAATTGCTCCCTCCCTCCCCTGACCCTCCACTTAGCCAATATATTAATGCTAATTGCATTCCCTATGCCAAACTCCCTATCCCCGTGACCATCCATCAACTACTAATTTGTACTTCTTTAACCCTTCACCCCATTCTCTCAGCTCCCCAACCCCGCTCCCCTCTATCCAACACCAAATTCTTTACTATATTTGTGAGTCTTTTTTTGATTAGTTCTTTTTATTCCTTAAATTCTGCATGTAAGTGAAATCATGTAGTGTTTATCTTTCTCTGTCTGACTTAAATACCTTCTAGGTCGATCAAGGCAATATCTTTTTCCATCCCCTTCCTTTTCATATGTAAGAGTCTTGTTTTCTTATTCTTTCAGCCACTTTATCTTTTGGTTGGAGCACTTAATTCTTTTCCATTTAAGGTACTTATCAATAGGAATGTAGTTGTTACCATTCTTTTTTTTATTAAAGAAGTCCCTCCAACATTTCTTGTAATACTGGCTTAGTGGTGATAAATTCCTTTAGCTTATTTTTGTCTAGGAAGCTCTTTATCTGTCTTTGAACTCTAAATGATAGCTTTGCTGGATAAAGTATTCTTGGTTGTAGATCCTGAGTTTTCATCACGTTGAAGATTTTTTGCCAAGTCCTTCCGTCCTGCATAGTTTCTTTTGAGAAATCAGCTGCCAGTCTTATGGGTGCTCTCTTGTAGGTAACTATCTGCTTTTCTCTTGCTGCTTTTAAGATTCTCTCTTTGAATTTAAACTCTGGCATTTTAATTATGATGTGTCTTGGTTTGGGCCTCTTTGGGTTCCTGGTTTTTGGTACTATCTGAGCATCCTGGAGTTGTATATTTATTTCCTTCACCAGGTTAGAGAAGTTTTCCATCATTATTACTTCAAATAACTCTTCAATGTCTTTTTTTCCTCGGGTACCCTGATGACACAGATATTTTTACCTTTATTATTACAGTCTTGGCATCTTTTTTCCTGCCATTCTAATTGAGTTTCTTCCTCTTCTTTATTCATTTTGTTTATTCCTTTGTTTATTCCATTTAATATACTTCTCATCTCAGATAATGTGTTCTCCATTTCATACTGGTTCCCTTTTATAATTTCAATTTACATTTTTATCTCTTTGTTGGAGTTCTCTACACTTCCCAAAAATTCATTGAGCATCTTAATAACTAGTGTTTTGAACTCTGCATCTGTTCCATTACTTCACTCCATTATATCTGGATCTCTGCTCTGTTGTTATATGGTTTCTGCTTCTTGTCTTCCCATTTTGGCTGCCTTTCCGTGTCTGTTTCTGTGTACTAAGCAAAGCTCCTAAGTCTCCCGGTCTTATTAGTGTGGATTTGTGAAGTAGGTGTCCAATGGCACAGACCTGAGGAGTTCACCTGCAGGCCAAATTTAGCCCAAGCTTCTACCCCTCCGGGGCCACCTGTTAAGAGTCAACAAGCAATCTCCAGATGCTGTGAGTATAGTTTCCTCAAAAGGCCACACCAGAAACTGATGCCAGCTGCCTCCACCAGTGTGAGTCTCAGCAAGGAGCACCTGACTCACTGAGGACATACCTGAATGTGGCTCGGGTGGGGCCCGAGCTGGGGTAGGCGGGATTTCAAGGAATCCTCTGGGCGGTGCAACCTCTGGTATCCAGTTTGATGATGTCACAGCTATAGCAGAGCTGTGTCCAGGTGTACTGGTAGCGGGGAGGGCTCAACAGGGAACAATGGATACCACCAGCACTTTGTATCAAGTCAGTCTCGCTTCGGCCCTCACTCCGACAGTGTCTCCCTGTAAGTCCTGGTGCCCGCTACGTGCAGCTTAATGGGCACTGGTGCTCAGAGTGAGCAGGTCTGTCACCGCAAAAATCCACTCGTGGACGCAGCTCCTTCAAGAGGCGTCTGCCGCTGCCACAACCTCTGTCTCACTCAGCTGCTTAGGACTGGGTCGTCCCGCGTCCTCGCCCTGTCCTACCTTCTGCTGCAGGGTGATTTCCTGGACTTCTCCTTAGTTGTATGGCTTGTTCATCTAGATCCCAAGTGACTTTTTCTTGCTGCTGCTCCTTGTTTCCATCACAACTTTGATTTGGTCGCCAGAGGGATGAACAGTTTTTATCATCTATGCCATTTTTTTCTTCCTCCCTCAATAAACAATTTTTTAGAGCAATTGTAGGTTCACAGCAAAATTGAGCAGAAAATACAGAGAGTTCCCATATACTCCCATCCCCATTCTCCTGTTCTTTTTATTCTTATCTCTTCACTGTATGGTTTCAACACAGCAATGAATGGACATTTTTTCCTAATAATCTTTTTAGAATTAAAATTAAATCGGTCACTCCTCTACCTAAAACCCTTAAATGTCTTCCCATCTCGCTAGGAAATAGAATCTAAAGTCCTTATCAAGGACAGCGAACTCTGGCACCCCAATTTTTCTCTTCATTTTCTACCGCTTTCTTACTTGCTGTGTTACAGCCACACTAGCCCAGGTTGTTTGTGAATACATTATAATTTGGTGGCAGTGGTTTTCCAATATTAAGTGATAACCATGATTCTCTAAGAGCATCTTATCTCACTTTTCAGGCTAAGGTAGCAAAGGCTTATATTCATGCTAATGAGAAAGATGAAAAAGATACCCCCAAAAAAAGTTATTTCAGAGATACTCCAAAGCCTTTAATTAAATTATATAAAAGAAAAATGTGTGAAAGCCCTTTACTTCAAACTTAAATTCTGATCCTCAGTCTGCCACTTTCAATAGGTGATACCTTTGGTAAATTCACTTTGATTTTCAGTTTCTCAACTGTAAAATGGAATTAACTGGATTATGTGATTCTATATCTGTGTTCTATTAAACGTTACACTACTGCTTTGTTTTCTTTAGATCTAGAACTTGGAGACCTATACAGTTTTTACATAAAAATTTTATCCTTGTTTGCATGAAGTTCATGATTGCATTTGCAAAAAATAATATGCCTTTGATCCTGATTGATAAGTACAGTTTAAGGGAGAAGTCATGAACCCTACAACATTCAAAGCTAAAATTTATTTTTAAAACCTGTAGCGATAGAAAATTACTTCAAAACACATTATGTCCAAATAACAATTGAAAAAAGTGCTATTCAAAGTTCATTTTTGTTACTGGTCTGACAAAGATGAAGAGTTTGTACCAGTATGTAAATCAGCTGTGTCACTAAGTAAATTCAGCTGGCACTTTTTTACATTGTAAGACTTTATTGACAGTATGTTGATTTACATTGTAATACAAGCTCTTTTTCTCATTTGTGAAGCAAACATTTCACAGAGGAGCAGTAATTATTATTGGAAAATAATTAATACTGTTATAGGGAGTACTAAGTTTCCTTGGTAGGCCTAATACTTCAATAAATAGCTTTCTTAGCTTCAAGTTTATAATCAATAAGCATAACACTCCATTTATTATTCCTAAGTGAAAAACTTACCAGTTTTTATTTTTAGTATTATGCAGATATTCCAGCAGAAGAAAGAGAAAAGAAATTGGCTTCCTGTTCAAGACACCGATTCCGCTACATTCCACCCAACACACCAGAGAATTTCTGGGAAGTTGGTTTTCCTTCCACTCAGACTTGTATGGAAAGAGGTAAGAGTATAGATTATAATATTTTGGAATTAATTTTTTTTTGATACTGTATATACCCAAGTCTCACTTTTCCCCCATGGTTCTCTTTACCTTTTGCTGCAAGCTGGGAGCTAGTTTTGTGACATAAAAACAAATTTCCAAAAATAAAAGGCTTACTTTCAACTCTTCAATTGGAATCAGAGGTTTTTTATAATCACTTTAGTGTGATCATGTGTACATTATCCTGGTTTATCAATCAGATTTCAGAAAGTAATTTCATGATATCATCAAAACGACTTTTAATAACAAATAACCTTACAAAAGTTGCCGGCAAAGTTATATTGTTTAAAAAAACACATCTTTTTAAAGTGACTACTCTGAATTATAGATTTTAAAACCTCACTTATCCAGAATGCTTGGTATTTACAAACCATATAAGTAAAAGGACCTTTGTTTGGAAGATTGTTGACATACAAACTAGCTCCTTCAAATATGGCACTTATATTTAATATAATTTAAGAATGTATACAACTTTAAAGCTCCAGATGTTTAGTAGTAAGGTAGTTTTTCCAAAAGATGCAAAGTCTTTGACAGCCATTACTGTATTTCCACCTTCTCATTCATAAGCTAGATTAAATCCTGTTTGACATCATGTCTCTGCCTGGTCATCAAATAGAATTAGACAATCTGGATAAAGCCTGTGAGAGTTATCTGAGATAACGTATATAGCATACTTTACAGATGTTTGCTGCTATTATTGCTAGTATGAATGAGGAAACTGATGCTAAAGAGTGAAATCATTCATTAGCATCACTCAGCTAATTATCAGAAGAATCATGTAAATTCAGAAAGCATTAAATAAAACAAATGTTTACTGGATATATGCTGAAAGAAATGTATGTTGCAAAGATAGTCTTCTAAATTTGTAATTTGTTTTTAAGGTTACATTAAGGAAGATCTTGATCCTTGTCCTCGTCCAAAAAGACGGCAGCCTTACAATGCAATCTTTTCTCCAAAAGGCAAGGAGCAGAAGACATAGATGTCGAAGCAAAAACAGGATAGAGAACAACTTTTTTCTTTTTTTTTTCTTTTAGTTATTTATAGCTAAAGTTGGTATTAAACATGGTTTTTTTAATCTTCTATAAACTGATTTATAAATCATTTTTCTATTGAAAATGTTTTTTAAATGGCATTTACCCACCACACAAACAACTATTTAAAATGTGGATAGGTTTAAGTCAAATTTTCTTGCTTTTGCACCTTTAAAACAATGAAGTGCTTTCATTTTGCACTCTAACTTAAGATTTGTTTATTTACTTTTTTTATATCACGTAATTACAATTTTGAAAATATGATAGTTGTAATCTGTGATTTATTGCCTTTCAAATCTTTTTACTCCATCTTCCTTTGGTATTTACTTTCAGCAGTGACTTCATGTTAATCATTACAGTATATACTGTTTGGTTCTGAATGTGATTCTGAATTTTTTTACAATCCTATTATAGCTTCTAGTGAGCATTTTTCTTCCCTTCCCCAAATTGTTTATCCTGTGTTTGATTTTTGTTCTCTGCTGACAGTCAACTAATCTCCCCAAAATAATAGCAACCATTCATTCATTGGCCACTTAATTCAATGCCAGGAACTGTTTTGCTCTTCACATAGATTTTTCTCTTTTAACCCCGGATAATCTTATGAATTTATGTATCAGCTTAACATTAAGCTGCCAAAAGTGGATTCAAAAAAAAAAAAAGACAGATTAAACAACAAATGACTGATTTTATTTTTCTCACATTAAAAAGTCTGGAGGTCGGCAGTCCAAGACTGGTAATGCAGCTCTGTGATGCCCTCATACACCTGGATTTCTTCTAGCTTTATGCTATTTCATACTCTTTATGTGCCCTTCATTCTTTTAACTATAAAATAGTTAGACCACCTCTAACATCGTTCATATTCATGTTCCAGGCAGGAAGAAGGGAAAATAAAAAAAGCCTATATCATTTGTTTTTGTCTCTCTTTAAAAAGTTTTCCAGAAGGCCTCACCCAATAACTTCCTCTGTTTCTCAGTGGCCAGAATTGTCACTTGGCTACTTCTAACAACCAAGAGATGAAATTAGAGCCCAGGATTGCCTAATTTCAGAATCAGAGCTTGTATCTAGCTTAGTGTTTCTAAAGGCCAGGAGATTGATAGACACCTGGATTTGAACAGGGCACCATAGAATTTTGCTTTTTAAAAGGCAGGCTAAGCAGAGACAGCAAGAAATTGTCTACCTGATAGTAGCTTTACGGTAATCCAACCCTTTATAACTAGCATTTTTCATTTTATCTTTAGTCACCTTGCGCAAGTTTGGGTGAACTGAGTTCTCTCTTCTTTTGTATCTGCTATTAAATAGCTCTACCTTTAAATGAAGTTATGAAAATAGACACTTTTTAAAAACACTTGAGTGAAAAGAATGTATTTAAATGCAAAATTGCAGTGTACGATGCATGATGTACTCTCAAACTTTAAGAAGATAATGAATATGAAAGAGCTTTATTCATTTGTAAAGAGGTATATATGTTAGACAATATTTTCATACAAATATATGTCAATCACTGTTTATATATAATTATATATAGTTTCAGGTGCCTATGAGCTTTTTAAAGTTATGACCTCTGATTTAAACAAAGTATTAAGAACCTTATATCAGCACTTAATATTTGAGTAACATCTTCCTGCCTTTAAACAATCAGGTATTCGATTAAACCATTGAAACCTAAGATTGTCAAAGGCAGCAGCTTGAATGAATTTCAATCGCTGGTACCTAAATATATGCAGAAGACATAATAGACTACTGAGAGCAAAATGAAGCAGAAGAATATTTCCTAACACCTTTCATGTAGCAAAAATTTTTCCTGAAGTACAGCTGGAAAGACTGCTGTTGGTAGGCTCAATGTATTAGTGATTCAATTTAAACTGCAACTGGCAGGTGTTTTTAAAAATGCTTAGAGAACATTCTTAGGCCTGCTAAGAGAAATAACTCTGAAAGGCTGCAAAGATTCTTCCCCAGATAATCTTTAATTCATAATTCAGTTCCAAAAAAGTAATAGTATTACATAAACCAAATACTAATATATTTATTTAACACATGTTTATTAAGCACTTTACTAGGCACGATACCAAGGACAATATCAGGTTCAAGTAAAAGCTGACAAATTTTCTCCAAAGGAGCAAGCTTTTAAATAAACACCTAAGAATCTTAATTCTGTTATCCCTGACATCTTAACATAACAAACATGAATTTAATTTTGAAAAATGCCTCTTCAGAAATAAGCATTTGAAATATATCTGAAAGTTTACCAGCCAGCTCGCCTCATCAATTCTAGCAGCTTAAGAGATATCTCAAAATCTTTCTTTTTGCTGAGTTGATGCTGTTAGAATGGTTCCTTGGAAACTGAAGTGTCCTTACACTTGAGTTCTGTAGATGCACTTAAGCAAAGAATTAGTGGAACAGTTGTCTGCTATCATACCAGTAGAGGCCAGAAGAGAGCTGTTTTTGGAGAATAATACATGGGAACTAGGAGCTGAATGGGACTATCAAAAAATTTTTCTGGGATAAATAGGATATGAGTTGGAACTTTTGGTACAATAATGAAAGCTCGTTGGGCAAAAAAAAAATAAACTTTCAACAAAGCTGTTGTTGGAATAAAACAAATGGCAGAGGCAATTCATGGTCCTGAAAAAAATATCAACAAACATTGTGTACCTACCATATGCTAGTCATTTAGGGATACAAAGAGATACATAAGATCTTGTTATTACCCAGTGAGAAACCAGACATAAACATTTAAAAGAAAACTGCCAAAGAGGCTAAAGAAGCATAGACTCAGTGCCAAAGAAATATTAAGAGTAATTAGAACCTGAACTGTGCCTTAGGATGAGTTAACCTGGAGAAACAAAGAAAGAGACAATGCAGCTAAAGTGGGGAAACCAATCTGAATATGGAGATGTTAAAATACCAAGAGTCAGAAGGAGCCTTAGAGATTATTTAGTTCTAGGCTCTCACTTTATAATGAAACAGAAGCCCAAAGAGAACTAGTGACTTGCAAGGTCCCAATGGGCTGGAACATTCTTAGCCTGGAACCTTAGTCTAGTGCTTTTTCCCCTTCCTAAGTGCTAGGGAACATATACAGGTATGTGTCAGAGCTACAGAGTAGAGCTGTGGGGTATTAGTAAGAAGCAATAAACTTGTGTCTTAAAAGGGGAGACTAAGGAATTTAGACTTGAGTCTTTAGGCCTTGGTTTTCAAAACATTAATAGCAGACTCCTTTATTCAAATTAAACTTTATGCAGAACCTCAATAAGCAATGATACTTTAAAGGTATAAGTTTATTTCAAGCATTCAAATTTATCACCTTATTAATCTGTTCAGTAAGACTAGATAAATACAAAATTGTGAAATGAGTTATGGATGGCAGATTATGTTGACCTCAACATTCATGATATACCAATGCTTGCTGCACCCAAAGCAATTAAGTCAAATTTTGAGGTTAAGTTGCCAGGCATCAGAGTGTGTGTGTGTGTTTTATGCCTACAGCACCCGGTCTTCCTAGGTGGTCTCCCATCCAAGTACTAACCAGGCGTGACCCAACATCAGTATATTTTTAAAAAACTCCTTAGGTGTTCTAATGTGCAGCTGAGCTTGAGAACCACTGCCCTAAATCATTGTTACAGTCTAATTCAATGGTAATCATACTTTAATGTATGTCAAAATCACCTAGAAGGCTTATTAATCCACAGATTGCTGGGTTTTACCCCAAAGTGTGTAGGGGCCCCAAATTTACATTTTTCACGTGTTTCCAGGGGATGCTAATGCTGGTACAATGACCAGTAGTTCCTAATCATAAAAGTTGCCCAGATACTTGATAGAGAGTCTTAGGCTTTTCTTGTAGGGATTTTGTTTCAGGTATACCCTGAACATTTATATTTTTAAAAGTTATCAGATCATTAGTATGAGGCAACTCTTAAGAGATAATGCTTAAGACAACAGAGTAAACTAGCGAAACATTAAGTTTTCAAGCATCCCCTGTTTTGAGTTGTGTAGTAATGCATTAATTTAGATATAATCATCAGGCATCAATATACAATTGACTGTTAAACAACACGTTTTAACTGTGTGGGTCCACTTATACTTGGATTTTTTTTTCAATCATTATACAACTGGCCTTCTATATCCTTGAGTTTCACATCCACGGATTTAACTAACCTCAGATGGAAAACAGTATTTTCCATCTACTGTTGGGCATCTATGAATGCAGGGTGCCTCCTCTATGCATTGTTCTATGATGCCACTTTGTATAAGGGACTTGAACTATCCATAGACTTCAGTATCCATGGGGTGTCCTGGAACCAATCCCTCATGATATCGAGAGATAACTGAAATTTGGGGGGAGTTAAAAGTTACATGCAGATTTTTGATTGTACAGGAGACCATTGTCCTAACCCCCACATTGTGCTAGAGTCAACAGTATATAAGAATGGGGGGGGGGGCAAAGGGCAGATAGGCATAGAGTTAGGTATGCAAGAAAAAATATTTAGTAATCTATTATAATATTCTAAGCATGAAGAACACCTGGGCCAAGATGGTGGCAGTAGGAAGGGGAAAAGAAGAAATTTAACCACTTAGAGCGGTTTATTCGATCATAGCCAAGGTTATTTTACAGAGCCATAGCCAGTGGCCTAGCGTGTCCTTTCTAATGCATTTCCCTGATATATGTTACTCCTCACTCAAATGCAGAGGTGCCTGTTACTCAATTGGAGATTTTTCCAAGAGACTTGCTTTTTTTTCCTGTTTATCCTTCTCTTTATTCATTTTTTCACTCCGATATTCATTCATTAATGCTTACTGACTTTGGGCCCTGTCAGCGTTTCCACCAAAGGCCAATGGGATCAATAAAAGATGAAACTCAGACCAACCTTAGACCAATTTATTTTGATAAGATATTTGGGAGAAAAAGTAGACTCAAAATTTGAAAGATGATATGGATTTCTAGGGATCCAGGCATTGGCCTAACAACCTAAGTCAGTAATTCTTGGGAAAACAGATGCAGGCAAACTAGGGAAAGCCTCTCTATTTAAATTAGAAAACAGTATTCAAGTTTCCCCGTTAGGGTTGATTAGATAAAAAGTCATCTCTTTCAATGAGCTAGAGGGCTGCTGAAACAATGGCTAGAGACACTAAGATTAGAGGGAGGAGAAGCCAAGAGGTGAGCTGAATCCTGCTAATGGTGTTCCCCTACAGCAGGAGGCTGAGAAACCCGGGCTCTCTCAGCCAGAGGGGTGCTAGTGGGAAGAGAGAACCCCATGGAACCCCTGGTGGTCTCACAAGGCTGGAATGACGATGTTGGAGGACAAGCTTGGTGACTTGTTTATACATCCATACGTGCATGACTGCAAATGAGGGACAAAGTCTTTTGGAATTGGATTAGGCTTAGTTGGCATGCTTCCTATTTTCTAATGCTGGTTCTTCAGTAATTTGAGCAGCACTGAATCACCATAAACAGGGCCTTTCTACGCTCTCCAGTTTACCCTATAATCAAACTCTCGCTCCAGTCTCCAGCACACCCTATGGAACTGCAGCTACTCTGAGTGTGGGGTCAGGCCAATGACCAGAGTTCCACACTGAGGCCATCAGTGTGCATGGCACTTTTGCACAGAGTCACACTTAGAGGAGGCAGGGGTTTACTCAATCCCCATTTTGAGGCAGCTTTGTGTGTGGATTCATCA